GGTACGGTGCGAGAGTGGTCGATACTCGTACAACCAACCTAAGATTTCAGTATATATATATATATATATATATATAAGACTGGACTTTTTTCTTACGACATATGATGTGATGTAGGCTGTATTAAGATTAAAATATTCCTGAGAAAGTCTCTACAATATTATCATAGATTGATGTGAACTATGGTACAACAGTCTCTACAATATTTTCATAGATTAATGTGAACTATGGTACAACAGTCTCTACAATATTATCATAGATTGATGTGAACTACGGTACAACAGTCTCTACAATATTATCATAGATTGATGTGAACTACGGTACAACAGTCTCTACAATATTATCATAGATTGATGTGAACTATGGTACAACAGTCTCTAAAATATTATCATAGATTGATGTGAACTACGGTACAACAGTCTCTACAATATTTTCATAGATTGATGTGAAATATGGTACAACAGTACTGAGAAAGTCTCTACAATACTTTCATAGATTGATGTGAAATATGGTACAACAGTACTGAGAAAGTCTCTACAATACTTTCATAGATTGATGTGAACTATGGTACAACAGTCTGAGAAAGTCTCTACAATACTTTCATAGATTGATGTGAACTATGGTACAACAGTGCTGAGAAAGTCTCTACAATACTTTCATAGATTGATGTGATCTATGGTACAACAGTACTTAGTTAATAGAAAATGTTCACGCCCAAACATTTACTCTTGTCTACAAATTATAGATTCATTACTTATACTATAGGCTGTAAGTCTATAGGAGTATAACGACATAAACCGGGTTTCGATACCCGTAGTGGGCACATTACCTAATATTCAACAGAGGGCGGGTCTTGTGCACCTGGACATCACATATCGGACAGAACTTGCTGGATTCCAGATATTGCACGATGCAGGTTTTGCAAACTGAAAGATTTAGGAGTGATGATTAGTAATCAAGTATTAAAAAAAACACAATAATTTCTTATGGCGACGTGATAATACATACTTCTTTAATAAATAATGTAAATGTAAAACACACATGTGTAAATGTTTTACGTCGTTTACTTGTCCTTCTATATTTATCCTTAAAAGCTCTACAAAATACACACTATACAGTTCACCATTTTAGTCTCGCGTGAAACGAGATCTCGTTCAATACTCTGAGCCAGACGAATATTCTATGGAGCTCTTACAATGAAAATACGATGAATTATTTTAAACATAGCTTTGAGTTACGATCGCGTCTTTTCAATAACGTGTTGAAATTAACTGATTCGCTTGTTCACAGGAAGAGAACATTGATAAATTTCGAATAAAGCTATTGAACTAATGAAAACAAATGACTACCTCAATCCAACTTTTCAAAACGCAATCCTTGCTTAGTGACCTGAAAGAATACGATCTGTCGAACATTTTCATGTTACAGTTTACCAGATAAAAGCTAAAGAAATCCTCATCTACACTATGTTAAATGGAAGGCTTAACAGGCCGCGTCTCTATCACAATGAAATACTAGTAAAATGTGCATACTCTACACGTGAGTGTGTGTGTGTATATATATATATCTTATTCTGCCTGCTGTGAATATCATAGTAGTTTTTATAAAACTGTAGATATGTATATATAGTCAATTACATACAACAGGCTAGAACAGTAGTCGGCAACTTATGACCCGCGGCAATAATTTGGCTGACCCGCCAAATGTTGGCCTCACCATTGCAACCCGTGAGGGGCACAATCATTGTTCAGTTCAAGTTTCTCGGCTATGTGAGAAGAACAACGATATTAAAGGAAAGATGGGAAAAAGTCACGGCTACGGAGAATTTTAAGATCAATTTCAGGGGAAAATATTAAACTGGTCGAACTA